TTTTTAAACAGAAATTTAAAAATTTTACTAATAATTTTTTTTTTCAATTAATTTTTTTCCAACTAATTCTAACCGAGGGGGCAATTGGTAATGCTACTTTAAATTTCAGGGAGGGGATTGTAATTTCTAAAATGTGAGGAGTGTCAATGTAATTTACCCAGTGAGGGCAAAATTGATATTTAAAAAAATTAAATTGCTGAGGGAGGAAATCTGTAATGAAACTTTAAACCTTAGGAGGAGAGATGTAATTTTCAAAAGGTAAGGGGAAACTGTAATAAACATAAATCTCAGGAGGTGTCAGTGTAATTTACCCTAAATATATTTAATTTAGATACACTAAAAAAAGTATAATATTTGTGATTTTTTAAAAAAAAATTCTTTAAATACAAAAAATAAGTACATTTTGTATATTGTTATATTCAATGAATTTTTAAATTTTTTTTGTACAAATTATATATATTTTTAAGGGGTCCAGCTTTTGTCCAGTCCGGGATCGGACTGGACCGTGCTATTGGGCCCGTGGGGGCCACCACGGGTCCCATTTTGAAAATCTGAACCGTTTAATGTGTAGAACTCGTCAAGTACTACATGCCTGTAGAAAATCACATTGATTGGATATCGATAACTATGTGATCAAATTAGTTTTGTATAAAAAAAATGGACGGTGAAAAAATTAACGGTTGATGAAAAACTGTTTTGTTCACATAGCTATCGATATCCGATCAACGTGATTTTTTACAAGCATATAGTACTCAACAAGTTCTATATATTAAACGATTCAGATTATCAAAACAGCACCCGTGGTGGGCCCCCACGGGCCCAACAGTACGGACTGGACATAAGCCATGGCCATTTTTAAGTATATCAAGATTAAGTGAATCTGAAAAGTTTTAAAAAAAAAATTGATTAAAATATTTTAAAAAATCATTAAAAAATATAAAAATATGAATTGAAAACTTAAAAATTATTTTTAAAAATTTCAAACCAAATAATAGTATAATGGTTAAATTTTTATGTTATATTTGATTTATTGTGTGAGTTCTCTCCAATGTTGAAAATATGCATAAGTTATAGAACCTAGTGAATCATGTAGCAATGGAACTCAAATAAAATACAGAAAAAGGGATAATTGAAACATTATTGATAAATCAATAGTTATCGCCATCTAATAATAGACTACAATGTGTGTATAGTGGGTAATTAATTAATGAAAAATAATACTGCGTGTTCGTGAGCCGTCATGGTGAACTTTTAACTTAAATGGTGAAGAACTATCTTTATATAAAACTTTTCATTAATTAATAGTACTTAAGGGGTTGATTGAGGTGTCTTAAATAAGTGTATTTTTTGTCTTTTTAGATTAAAAATTGAAAAAAAAAATATGGATGTTTAGGTTAACTTTTTGACTTTTGATGAAAAAATATGTATTAAAAAATTATATAAATTAGTGTGTGTAGGAGAAAATTAAGATTAAAAATTGTGCAGTCGTAATTGTTGACTTTTTAATAAATAATATTAAATTTTTAACTTTTAAAATATTTTTTTAACTTTTTAATTTTTTATAAACTTGTCAAACTTGACCTTTCTTACTGGTGCCTGCGTGCCTTGGTTGGATGGCCGGCCAACTTTTTGATAAATAATATTAAATTTTTAACTTTTTAAATAATTTTTTGACTTTTTAACTTTTTATAAACTTGTTAAACTTGGCCTTTCTTACTGGTGCATGCGTGCCTTGGTTGGATGGCCGGCCATTGTTAATTTTGTGAGTAAACTAATATTTGATTAGTTGGGAGTTGGCCAACCCTACCCAAATTGGAGTACGAAATTAAAAATGGATTAGTTACGCCAATCTCTATCCTTGAACACAACTGATATTGAGAGATTTGATAATTTATTTGGAGTTTATAACATTCTCTTTTTATTGGAGTTGTTTGGGATCATCTAAATAAGTGCATTTTTGACTTTTTATAAAATATGGGTTAGGTTTGAATTGGGTTTGAAGTGATATGGGTTGGGTTTGGATTGGGTTTGAAGTGATATGTTAGAGAGGTGATGTGACTTAAATAAGATAGTGACTTTTTGCATACATGCCAAACCAAGCCTAAGGCATAGTGCCCTGGTAATTTAATTTAATGGATATACTTTAAGGAATCTAACTAAATAAATGATATGAGGTTCCAAATAACGTTCTGAAAACCTTATAAAAAATTTAAGCATTTTGGATTGGTGGAGGCTAAAAATTTGCACAATTGTATATTCATCTGTTTTTTTTAAAAAGAAATAATTTTAATAGCAAAACAAATAATACAATAAGACTCAATACAAAACTATACATACTGTCGCCCTATGGGCGCAAGTGTAGTCGAGAAAACACACCTCTCATAGCCCAATAATCATGTGATTATATATATATATATTAGAACAAATCATTAAATAATATGAAGAATTAATAGTAATTTACATTAAGTTAAAAATATCATTCCAAGTTCAATTCAAAAAATAATTAGATTCAAAATCTCAGTCTAATGATAGATCAAAACACATATATCTAACCTAAAAATATGAGGCGGATTAATTGGGCTAGTGTGTACAGATAAGTAAAATGAAGGTTCTAATTTTTTGAAAGACAAAATTCTTGCTTTGTTTAAAAAGTTTAATAACATCAAAATTTATTGTAGAATTAGACACAATTTTTTTCTTTAGATTTTCGTGAATTCTAACCTGAGAAACGTAAGTCCCAGTTTTATAATTGATGATGTGGATGCAATTAAAAGAAATAATTGTTCTCTATTTTTATCACCGAAGTGCAATTGAAGAGTAATTGTCCTGTTTTTTTAATAATTTCACACTTGCAATGTAACCGATCAATAACAAGAAGCCCAATAATTACAGCCTAATAGTTACAAGTACATGAATTTAAATAAAAATAAAAATAAAACAATATACTATTTTACGAATACAAAGTGAAAAATTATAAAATGTTATCGAAATATCACGTATCCATATTATTTAACCAATCATTATTTAATATATATTTTTATATTTTCTAACCACTCAATACAATATCTTACTTATCTATCTTCTTTATCAATTATAATATTATAAAATATTACATATTTATATTTTGAAATTAATGAATAATTACCCACCAAGTAATCTTCTTGACTGTATGATAATTTCTGCCAATTGAGGGTCCTTGTCGTTGTTTGTGCAACAATGATTCATCCCACTAAAAACACCACCACTAATAGCACTAATGCATTAAAAAAGTAAAAAAAAAAATAAAAAAATGCAACTCCAAGACCAAAATATCACATCATTAATGACGGGACCCACTGCCACCTAATTAGTGGGAGCACTAATTAGTGCTCCCAAGCATTTTTCTTGTTTGTGGGACACGTACGAGGTACCGAGTGCAAAACCGGAAAAATCACAAACACTATAGATGTTTTGAAGGATGAAAGTGTGAGAGTTGACTATTAGTCCCACCAGATTAATAATTTATTGTTTGTTTTAATTTTTTTTGCTTCGGTTTGTAGGATTATCCTATCCCATGGGAGGGTGAGATTATTTTCATGGGATTGGTATCCCATGAGATTAGGCTCTGAAATGTCCATTTTACCTCCATGTTATTATTTAGCAAACAATTAGAAAATGATAAAATAGTCTTTTGAACATTTATAAATTATTTTTTTAGTGTTGTTAATTTAAAATTATATATTAAATAAAAAATTTAAATTATAAATTATAAATTTAATTTAATTAAAAATAATAAATTAAAAATTATGGCCTTATAGCACATGTACGATGCTCAAGAATAACTCTGTCTGCCCCAAGCTTGCTCTGTTCACCTTAGCCACTACCTTCTGTTTTTTGCAAAAATACACTGCTGACCAAACTTTGAGGGCCGACCGGTCCTTAATGAAGCCCGGGCGAGCATAGAGTAGGCCAGCTGTGCCTCAATTTTGTGCAAAACTCTATTTTGTGTTCTGAAGTGAAAACAGTGCAGACAGAGTTGTTCAAGCTTTGTTTGTCCCTCTCACATTTCTTTGTCATGGGAAAGCCTCGAGAAAAGGTTAGAATTTTCAAAACCATCAATGAGAAAATTGATTGCTCGATGATTTCGAATACAATTTGGACAATAAATCAATAAAATGCAATGAATATGACCACTCCTCCCTCTTTATCATGGAATGAAGTCAAAAAAGGGAAGTAAAGACACTTCAAGAATCATCAAAATGCCATGAATTAGGCATAACATCCGGCCAAGTCTAAGTAACATGACTCATTTTCTTTATGTGTGTTGATTGCTTTTAAACCAATTCTTTTAGTCATTTTCATTCTTTAGTCCATTTGTCCAAGATGATGGTAAAGTCCACTAAATGAGAAGAAACATCAAACAAGAGGTGCTTCTAATTATGAAAATGAGACTATGCCGTTGACGATGAATCTCCATAGAGATTAAGCCATTAAGCATAGATCTCTTTTACATGTTTTGAATAACCTCAATTGGTTGAAATAACTCTCAAACAAAAGAAGAAAAGAAGAAAAGAGGGAGGTTGCAGAAATGAATGCTAGATTGCTTATTAAAATGGGACTCTTGACATGGAAGTTAAATAAAGAAAAGCCAAGAACAACATACAACAAGCTATATATGAGAGCTTATGATACAACAAACTAACTAACTAACGTAGGAACAAATTAAATGAATTAAAACAGCCTCTAAACAGCCCCTAAGATACAAAAAAAAAAAATTAGTAGCTGAAAGTAAGAGAAAGTAAGTAAAAAGAGTAGAGAAAAAGTTATGGAACAAAGCCTAAGGAGGGGTGGCTAACCCCTCCACTTTTTGCAATTTTAAATCACATATATCAGCCCCAAAAATAGTCCAAGAACAATTCCAAAACAGCCCAAAAATAGTGGCTAAAAGTGTGTTTAAAGAGCACAAAAAGATAAACAAAAGCAAGAGATATAAAGCTAGTAAGCAAAATCAAGGAGAGGTGGCTGAGTGTGAAACCACCAGTGTGGGTTTGTGTTGTGGCAAATCTCCTGCAATCCACACAATTCTCTTGGCCCCCATGATAACACAGAGACCCAGAGAGAGAGAGAGAGAGTGTGTGTGTGGAGTATCGCGTAAAATTGATGGAAATGGCAATGACCCAGTTGGTCACTGTGGTGGCTCACGCCGTATCGTCGTCTCCGGAGGATGTGACCGAATCTTCAGGGAGTAGGGGTCGCACCGCCTTTCAGTGGGGTGGAACCATCTCTGCCCTGTCAGTCCCTCCCTCCCTCCAAACCCTATTCTCTTTTCTCTTCTTTTGTTTTATTAATTACTATTTGTTTTCGTTTTGTTTCGTTTCTTTTGTGAAATTTCGTTGTTTACTCATATCAATTGCTTGGGTGATTGGAATTTTTGTAAAGCAAGTAATTATAAGCATGATTGTGAAGTGATTAAGACTTGGTAAATGGTTGAATTTGCAGAATTGGGTAAATATAAGGTTATTTGAGTTTGGTTAACTACAATAAATATGAAATAGTCATTTCGTGATCTTAACGATTCACTTTGTTAGAAATTAATTCTTTTTAATCAAGATCCGTGAAACACGAAATAACGAACCAAAAAATAAAATAAAATAAAATGAATCAAATAAATCACACATAAAGAACAAATATTTACACGAAATAACGAACCAAAAAATAAAATAAAATGAATCAAATAAATCACACATAAAGAACAAATATTTACACGGTTCACCCTAGAATAAACCTATGTCCATGGCTGCTGCGATTTTTATCAGAAAATAATGCAGCTCTCTTGACTTAAAAGTGACGCCCCTTTATCTATATTTATAAGTATAGAATTAGAACAACATGGGGAGGCCCTCCAAACCCCCCATTGGGGAGGCCCTCCAAACCCCCCATTGGACGCCGGGTTGAATGAATTACAGACCCAAAACACTTGTCATGTGAATAATAATTTCATTTACAATGCATATTTTATTATTTTTAATTTATAAACTAAATGCAAGGACATTTTGATAGAACAATCATTCTATTCCACTTTCATTCAAACGAATCAAACACTTTCTCAATGTCCGGAGCATTCAATAGAAGAGGTATCCCACTTACTCTCTTCATTAATCAAATAATAAACAGTGTTTGAAGTATCCCAACCATTGATGCTTTCTCTAAGAGTCTCCCTGTTCTTTATTATACTTTTCCAAGCATGACAAGCTTTCCTCTTAGAAGGTCAATTGAACAATGTATGATTTCCCAAGCCTTTAGTTTGGAGAATTGAAGAAAGTATGATTTCCCAACCTAACTTGGGTAGAGGAGTTAAGTTATGATCTTCAGTTTTCGTGGTAATCAGGATCAACACTGAGCAACAGCCTTTGCCTCGTGATGGTTCAATCAAATTTTACTTGGCAACTGTCATCTTTGTAGTACAAAGGGAAAATATATATAGATGTAATAAAAAAAAAGTGAATTTGTCCCATATTTTGCAATATGTTTCACTGGTTCAGCATTTATAAAATCACTGCCAGATTGATACACTAATTTTAATTTGCTACCTTACAAGATGCCATTACTATTGAAGGCTCTGTTCCTGAAATTTTAAAATTACATTGATATCAACAACAACATTTGATTTAAAATGGTGGCTCACACAAGCAGTTAGACCTACTCCTTACCTTTAAGTTAGCCAGCACTTCCTCTTGGGGAGCTTAGAATCCCTTTGATTTTAAATTTTATTGTAAATTCAAGTTTGGTGCTTATGTGTTGCATAACCATTTGTCTCACTTGGTGTTTTTGTTGCTTTTATTTTATGCCACAGTTTTTTGTTAATCATGAACCGAATTGGGCGAAGATCATCCATGCAGTATACCCTTCTAGTCGTCTATCTTGTCATTAGTTTTCCAACGGTGCTGTTCAAGATTCTAAGGTGTTTTTTTAATCTCTTTAACCAGGCCTTAGTTGCATTACATTTGTGTTCTTCTTTGATAATTTAATGACATTACACCCCTATACCCTATTACAGAGGACAGTTTGGATGTTGGGTTGCCTTACTTGCTGTTGCAGCAAATCTGTCCTTTCCTGATATCTTTCCAGGTTTGGACTTTACTAACTTATGCAATCCGTTATCGTCATAATTGTTCCAATGCTGCACTCATAAGCGATATAATTATTTCCTGGCACATTATGATAATTTTATTTGCAGTTTCTCGCTTTCTCCTATTTGTCATCACACCAGACTGGGTGGCAGATGGGCTGCGCGATAGTATTGTTGGTGGTGTGTTTTCTCTCATAGTTGCAATATTACTTGTTGTAATGGAGATTCGGGGAATTGGAGGATTTGCTAACTGGGAATGTAATTCGCATTGCTGTGGTTACTGTCTCGGTGTACTTTTGTTGTTCTTCTTTACTACATTGTATCTATGTCTGGGACTATGGTAGAAGGTGCAAAACTTTTTCTAACCTGTAAATGTTGTCCTATTGCAACCTCAATTGTTTGACTACTAATTTCAATATTTTGTCTCCAAACTTCAACTGCATAAATTATGTACCGTTGTTGTGATGGCATGTGTAAAATACAGGGAGATAAGGAAAATGACAAATTTCAGACCACTTTTTTAATCTCGTTAGTTTGTTATTACTGCGTTTACGGCCTGTTAATTAAGTTGACAAACATTTTGTCTGAAAACGAGTGAGCTTTGCCGACACAGAATTGTGTTTTTTTTCTTGTCAGCAAGTGTAGAAGGGTTCATCACTAAAGCCAACACTTGCGAGTGTTAAAGGTGGGCACATTACGTGCTTTTAATAATCACCCGAATCACCTAAGAACAATACTTACATAACGTATGGATGTATAAATTTAAAATAAAATAATTTGGACATTAATCATTTGAGAATTATAGCTCAAATTTAGATTTAAGTTAAATTTAAAAGCTTTATCATAATGATTTAAAATAACGATGTAAAATTATTCATTTAAAAATCTTCCACGTTAAAGACTATAGCTGTTTTTTTCTATCTCAAAAAGTTGTTTTATTTTATTTTTTTAATTTTATAAGGGGTCATCTTGAGGGACTTCCCCCAGGTTGAAAATGTATGATGTTTAGCCAATACAAGTGATCACTCATAAATCAAATGGAAAAATCAATCAATTGTTTCTGGTCCATATAGCCATGATCAGAGCATTATAGTCTATTATCTATACAGTGATCATTAATCAAACAAGCTTGATATAGGTTGAGGTTGGTCCGAAAAGGATCTTTTCTGGTTCGAACCTGGAAAAATGGGTAGGTGTATGAAAGCCAAATTTTCTTGGTGTCTGAAAATAATTTTAATCATCCACTTTATTGATTGTACCTAATATAATTAGTGATGTCTAAATAGGATTTTGTTCACTCACCTGAATCGGACTCCCCCTCATCTCTCAAGCCAATTCTTTTTTTAAGTTTTGATGTAGAATGATGATCATAACGTGGTCCCATTAGTTACTGTTTATTTAGTAATTAATTGAAGTTATGGGAAATGGGCACCAAACTCAGCATTTGAATGGAGAAGTCAATGTTGATGTTGATGAGCCCACTTTAGCTGTCCTTTCTAATAATAAAATGGCAGTAGTTGGTTCAAAGGGAAACTTCCTAGTGGGTGCGAGTGTGTGTGTATGCGTGATGACTGTAAAGTTGCAATGTTTGTGAGTTTGACTCAACATTTTGTTTTTGTTTTTGTTTTTTCGTTTTTTTGTTTTTACATCCGGGAGTCTTGTCGTGGTAAACACTTATTTTGCAATTATTGTCCCCTAAATTTTTTTCGTACATATGTCCAACCAAGCAATCTCCTCCATTTCTTTTTGTTCAAGGAAATTTCATGTTAACACATTCATTTAGGCATGTTCATAGAAATTTGTTTTCTTGGAAAATCATTTCAAGTTTCCAAATACATTCCGCACAGCCATGAAATCTATTCCTTAGACTTCAACCAACCTCAACACCACCTCAAACTAAAATGGAGTTTTTGCCCCTCTTGATCTTCACTGGCCTTTTGATCTCTGGTCCTTCCCTGATTCATTCCCAGCAGCCTTATATTCGCAAGGCCACAACACTCTGTGGCAGCACAGAAAATTCAACCTCTGTTTTTGGGTACACTTGCAATGGCCTAAACAGGACTTGCCAAGCTTACCTCACATTCAGATCTCAATTCCCTTACAACACTGTCTCTTCCATCTCTCACCTACTCGGTTCTGACCCATCACAACTCTCTCATCTCAATTCAGTTTCCGCGAATGCAACATTCGAAACTGACAAAGCAGTGCTAATTCCTGTGAATTGCTCTTGTTCAGGTCAGTATTACCAAGCTAACACATCTTATGTTATTGAACATAAAGACACTTTTTTCTTGATTGCAAACAACACCTTTCAAGGCCTCTCAACCTGTCAAGCTCTCCAGGCTCAGAACAGTAATCGCACTACTAGGAACTTGTATTCTGGTACGAGAATTACTGTTCCTTTGCGGTGTGCTTGTCCTACAAAGGACCAAATTGATGTTGGTGTAAATTATCTATTGAGTTACTTAGTTGCCACAACTCAGTATGTCTCTCTCATAAGTTCAATGTTTGGGGTGGATACTGGGAGGACTCTTGAAGCCAATCAATTATCTGAACAGGACCCCACCATTTATCCCTTTACTACCCTTCTAGTTCCTCTAGAAAACCCACCATCAAGTTCTCAAACCATAGCACCGCCACCGCCGCTGCCGCCACCATCTCCTCCACCGCCGCCATCTCTCCCTTCATCAAATAACAGTTCCAATAAAACATGGGTCTATCTTCTTATAGGTGCTCTTGGAGGGGGTGGTCTTGTGTTGGTCATTGGGGCCATTGTTTTTTGCATCTTCTTTCACAAAAATAAGAAGAAAGCTGATCCAATTATCGTCTCAGAGGGCTTCGAGGCAATCAAGAAACAATCTGAGAAAAAGTTGGAGGAAGAATCCAAGGAGTTCTTGGCGAGTATACCCATTATAGCTCAATCCCTCAAAGTGTATAGTTTCGAAGAACTTCAATCCGCAACAGAGTATTTCAGTCCTAATTGTTGGATTAAAGGATCTGTTTATCGCGGTACAATCAATGGGGATTTTGTTGCCATCAAGGAAATGAATGGAGATGTGTCGAAGGAAATCAATTTACTAAACAAGATCAGCCACTCCAGTCTCATCCGCCTATCAGGTGTTTGTTTCAGCGAAGGGCATTGGTATTTTGTTTATGAATATGCTATAAATGGACCATTGAGTGACTGGATTTATCACAACAATACCGATCAAAAGTTTCTGAATTGGACACAAAGAATGCATATTGCTTTGGATGTCGCGATGGGGCTTAACTATATCCATAACTACACCTCCCCTCCCTATGTCCACAAGGATATAAAGAGCAGTAATGTTCTTCTTGACAGTGATTTCAGGGCTAAGATTGCGAAATTTGGTCTAGCAAGGTCAGCAGATGGGCAAGAGGGTGAATTTGCCTTGACAAGGCATATTGTTGGGACAAAAGGCTACATGGCTCCCGAGTATTTGGAGAACGGTTTCATCTCCACAAAGCTTGATGTCTATGCTTTTGGGGTTCTTATGCTGGAGATACTTACCGGGAAAGAAGTTTTCAAGCTATATCAAGGGGTTGACGTGCACTTGTCAGAGGTCTTAAGTGCTGTGCTTAATGAGGAAAATGGAAAGGAGAATTTGAATGGCTTCATTGATCCTTCTCTGCAAGGGAATTATCCTGCAGAACTAGCCCTTTTTGTCGCCAGATTAGTCGATAGTTGCATAAAGAGGGATCCATCAGACCGCCCGGGCATGGACGAGATTGTACAGTCTCTGTCAAGAATTATAGCCACTTCACTGAATTAGGATTTGTCAAGTAGCATCTCTGGGTACCAGAGTTTCAGCTAGAGCTTTCAGTGGAATCTTTTTTACCCTTTTCTTGGCTTATCTTTCCCCTTTTTTTCTTCTTATGATTTATTGCATAAAAAATTTTCAGATAATAACAATCTTCTCAAATATAAATATTTTAATCTATTAAAATAGTCAATTTTCCAAAGGGGACCAAAATTTTCAAATAATTTGTACCAAAAAAAAAAAAAAAAAAAATCAGACAATATTCAGATTCCTATCTTTTTGTTTTCACACTATGGCAACATATTAACAATTAAAACTGCAATTAGTTTGTCCAATCTGCTTACATCATGAGCCAAGATACCTCAAAATAGTAAATTTTTTTTGAAGATTCCTCTCAGTTCTTAGTGCTCGTTTGGCTAAGATTTTGAGACTAAAAAAGTACAAAAAGATAAAATAAACTATATAGGTCAATAAGACAAAATACCACATTTTATCCATAATCATTACATTTTTTTTCTCACAAAAGTCAAAAAAGTCTCAAAATAAAAACCAAACGAGGCTAAAGAAGCCAGGCTAAAAAAGTCCCATGCTAAAAAAGTTGGCTATATTAGCCAATGCCAAACGACCCCTTAATTCTAAAAGTCTTTGTCCATTATTTTTTTGATAAATAAAAGTCTTTGTCCATTATATTAGGGTGAACTAGACTTGATCAATGTTTTCATATTTGCTGTCACCTTATATACCTATTGAAAGCCTTTTGTTTGGTGAAAAAGCCATTTCGGGGTTGTTTGGGATGACCTAAATAAGTGCACTTTTTGTCTTTTTATAAAAAGATGTGCAGAAAAGTAGAGAGGTGATGTGATAGAAAAAAGATAAAAAGATGGATTATTTTGTAGTAGCCAATCTTGACCTAAATGTCAAATAGGTCTGGTTTTCTAGGAAATTAACAATGTTGATTTGGGCAAGAAATCGATGAAGTTGGTTCATTTAGTCAACAATGTTGCAATTGAGTGTTTGTAAAAATAATAAATAAATAAAATAAAATAAATTCAATACACACTTCATGCTGAGGTTGCAGAGGTACTGGTCTTCAAACCTATATGATTGATTGCGTCTTCAAGCTTCTAACTCATAAGCCATTTCAAGAGAAGTATGCATCATGGCTGGGTTTTTACTTACTTTCTTCATAACCTTTGGTTTTCTAATTCCATATCTCAATTCCCAACAACTGTATTCAGGAAACGCCGCTATTGACTGCAATAACACCGATGAAACAGGGCCATCTCCGGCCTTTCTTTACTCCTGCAACAGCGAAAGGCTGTCCTGCCACACATTTCTCCTCTTCAGATCTCAAATTCCTTATGTTTCAGTAGCAGCCATCGTCGAACTGCTCCTCCATGATCGCTGATCATGCTTCCTTACAAGTAGCTCCATTACGCCATTACTGGCAGTTGAGCTTCCCTCTTGTACTTGAATTTGAATATGAGTAACCGTTGAAGATATGTCATCTTGCATCCCGTTATTGATCTAGTGTTACTCAGATCATGTGAGGACCAATATTTATTGCCACGTGTACGATCAGGATTAAAGGCTTGAATAACCTTCCTTTATTACCCTTACTCTGCCACGTGTCGAGCTGTAACTGGCTTTTACAAAATATGTAGCCAACACCACCAGAAACCAAACTCTTAATGGCACAAACTTTCTACTAACTTACTTGATTACTTGGGGTGACACGGTTCTTGATGTTAGCAAGAGATTTAATGTAAGTGCTAGAAGTGTAGCTTATGCAAATGGATTCTCTGAAGAAGATCAAACTATTTACACTTTTACAACTATTCTAATTCCGCTGCCTACTGCACCTTTGAGCTCTCAAACCATTATTCATGATCCACCAGCCATTCCTCCTCCTCCTCCTCCTATAACAAGGAACAGAAAGTCGAAGAAAGGACTTATTGTTGGGATTGCAACTGGCCTTTCTGTTATGGTACTTCTCTTCTTTGTTTTGTTTGTGGGCTTCTTGCAACACAACAGAAACAAAGTACATGTGGTTGCCTGGAAGGATAGGGAGGGGAAAAAAAAGAAAGAGGTACTGACCAAAGATGTCCTTGTTGGCATAGCCCGTGTTGAGCAAGTTTTGAAAGTCTACAAATTCAAAGAATTAGAGGCGGCTACTGAAAACTTTAGCCACGAAAACAGGCTGAGAGATTCTGTTTATCGTGGGCTTCTTCATGGAAAAGTGTTTGCCATCAAAAAGATGAGCACAGATGTATCCAAAGAGGTGAAAATTCTCAACAAGATCAACCATGCCAATCTGATAGGCCTTTATGGCGCTTGCGAACATCATGGGGTTTTCTATCTCCTTTATGAGTTTATGGAGAACGGTTCTTTAAAGGATTGGCTCCACAAAAACAGTAGCCCAGAACTCCAGAGTTGGAGCCGAAGGATTCAAATTGCTTTAGACGTTGCTAATGGTCTCCACTACCTTCATAACTTCACAGATCCTGCATACGTGCACAAGGACATTAATAGTAGCAATGTTCTTCTAAGTAGATATCTGAAGGCCAAGATTGCAAATTTCAGCCTTGCAAAATCTGCAGAACAAGGAGAGAGCAGTAATTCATCAACGATGTGTGCTCTGAGGGCCAGATGCCACATGGCACCCGAGTACTTAGAAGCTGGCATGGTGACACCTATGATGGATGTTTATGCATTTGGGGTTGTCCTGTTGGAGCTGATTACAGGAAGAGAAGCTGTTTTTGAGCAGGACGGAGAAGAAGTGTTGCTGTTCAGAAACAGTAGTGTCGATCATGGATGGAGGAAATTCAGAACCAGAGTTTGGAAATCTAATAGACCCTCGTCTACAAGAAAAGCACCCGCTTGGTTACATCATCGATCAGTCTGAACTCACGCTGCGAATGATGCAATTAAGCGTAGCATGTTTGGCGAGAGAACCAGAGAGCAGACTAAGCGTGACTGAAGTAGTTTCAACTCTAATGAGGATTCAATTGGATGCTGATAAATGGGAATACGTGTCTGTGTCTGGGTCATAGTGGTATCTTGAAGTTCTTATTTGCATACTACGCATTTCATATGAAATAACCATCAGTTTATAAACATTAGTAGAAAGAAAGTTGGCTATGTATATAAATTTGCTTGGATGCCAGTTATTTTCATTAATAGGACAATAAAACTCTGCTTATGGCTTTACATTTACATGTTACAACGATTTTGTAGACTACTGCTTTATTTTTATTTTTTTAAAACATGAAATATGAATAACAACAAATCCAGAAGGACTCGGTCTAAAGAGTATGCTTTCGCTGAATCAACGAGCTATTACAGGGCTGATAATTTGAATGGCATCTTCGGTTTCCAACCCCGATGTCCAAGACCTTTCGTATCTATCTGGAGATGGTTGAGTAAGAACAGAGAGGTTGAAGACTATCTCTGCCATTCTTGGTCTTACAGAGTACTTCTCTGCTGTGCACTCCCTCGCTAGCGCTGCCAAGCTCATAGCGCTATCAATAGAGTAAAAGCTTTCCAAGTTAGGATCCATCCACTCCCTTAACATCTCCTCCTTTCTCTCTTCAACTTCCAAAATACCCCTTATTTCCTTCCACAACATCACAAACTCACCGTTTTCTTTCATTTCCATTGCTTTCTTTCCTGAAAGCAACTCCAACAGAACAATCCCGAAAGCAAAAACATCAACTTTTTTCATCACAGGGCTTGTTGCAGGCCTAGCGATAGAGAAATTCGAGATCTTGGCCTTGAACCTGGAGTTGAGAAGTATGTTACTTGTTCTGATATCCCTGTGAACAATGCTCGGTTGAGTATGTTCATGCATGTATTGCAGGCCATTGGCTACATCTAGTGCTATATTCAACCTCTGAGTCCATGTGAGTGATGCCACACAACCCGAAGAAGAAGAAGAAGATTTCGGGTACAACCATTTATCCAGTGATCCATTTTCCGCGTCTTCATAAACCAAGAAACAATTCCCTTCATTGTCCGATGAAATGCCCATTAATTTCACTAAATTGCCATGATTCACTTTCTGCAATATCTTCAATTCCTCTGTAGCATCCTTTGTTTTCTTCACAGCAAAGACCTGCCCATCAATTATGGCCCTGTAAATTGATCCTCCAATCCTGTACCATTCGCTGAGATTCATAGTTGCCTCCATGATCACCTTTCTGTCATACATGATTGGTTGGCCTAGACAATCAGAAACCCCGGGAAGTAGCTTGTCCTGGTTAGTCTTAGCCTCAAAAGCTTCCACTTTCGATGCTTTCTTCATTTGAATTAGATCATCTGTCTCTAACAAAGAACTATTGTGTTTCAAGCTCGCCTTTTTCTTATACAAAAGATGAACATAGGCCAACAAGCTTGCCAAAAGGAAAAGAATGAGAACTCCGGTCGAGCACAAAACAATAACCAGTGTCCACCGGTGTTTGGGCTTATATCTTTCGAAAGGTTGAGAAAGAAATGGAGGTTGTGACACCGGTATCAACACAGGAAGATCCACATCAACAGTAAAATTTCTGTAGTTGTTTTCAGAAACAATATCAAACGGCGACGCATTAAACATAGCACTTACAGGCAAGAGATCATCACCAGGCTGCCACATATAAGTTATAAGGTACTTAATTCCCTTCTCCAAAAGGGCCTTACTCGGGCACATGCAGAGAAGAGGAAACACCACTTCCTCACCAACCTGCAAGTCAATTGGATTTTGCGTTGGGTTCGTGTCTTCAGCGTCACGATAATTGATGAGACTTTCAAATTCAGTGATTGAAACTACATAAAAACTGTCACCTTCCTTGATCTGGTACGTGACATTAGAGAAAAAGTATGTTCCATTGCAGGAACAGGTGATCGGTATTAGTAAGAGTTGGTCCGGAATTAGTCGTGCCTTGTCAGAGACAAGGTTACTAGCTTTTGCAATTGTTGAAGGACTGACACCAAACAGATTGGATATGCTTTCCAAATCCAAATACTCAGGCGTTTGGGCACGGTATGTGACATAGGTTTCACAGGAAACAGGGGAGTCTGGGGAGCATAAAAAGTCTGTGTCACCAATAGGTGGTGATTGAGCACTGACATGGAAAGGAGACAGGACGAGAAATGTGGAGAAGAGAGTTTGCAAGGAGAGAAGCGATATTGCCATTGATGTGAGCTTAGATAAGAAGAGAGATTGCCATTGATGTGAGTTTAGATATGCTTAGCCTAGCTATCTCTGATCATCTTTAGTTTACTCAGTCCTAGTTAAGGTTGACAGAAAAGGTGGACAGCATTATTTAAATAAGATTGATTTAAAGAAAAATTTTGAGAGGCCTTTGTCTCTAGCATTGATTTGTATGATTCTCTTCGTTTTCTTCTCCCAGCCAGTTACGCAGATCATAATTATGTTTTCGATACAGGATCATATAGATGGATACAATAATCCCAATTTTATATATGCAAGAATCGAAACTTAGACAAAAATATTTCAATCTCAGGTTTAGTTTATTCAGGAATCCGAGTTTGTACGGCAACCTGTTTACCCTTTCAATTCCATTATACAAAGTCAGCAAGACAGACAAATGAAGCAACTTTCATACTGTGTTTGGTTGGAGGATTTGGGAAGGAATTTGGAAAGGAAAGGAAAAAGGTGTGTGAAACTAAGTGAAATATAAACATATTTTATTCACATTTCACCTACCTTTTCCTTTTCCTTTTCCTTTCCAATTCCAAATCTCTTCCCAAATCCCCCAACCAAACACAGCGTCAGAGCCCAAACAAAACAATAAAACTCAGGAAACAGCCTTCCTAAGTCACTGTTTAAGTTCTCTTTTTTACTATCAAAGAAGCCAAACGCATCCTTGCGCCTTGCTGAACGATGCTTTCTTCTCAGGAGTGTCCACATATATTCACTGTATTCATTCATTATTTTCGACTAGATATTGACAAGTATTAAATTATGTGTAGGATTACATCAGTTCCACATAGAATGTGGGCATTTTGTTGCTTACTGTGATTGGTTTTTTGGGTCCTACTCCAACAGAACTAATATGACATGGTCAACTGACCAAGCAGAGAATTTACTCATTTCAGAGAGGAAATTTTGTCGTCAGCCGAATATGGTCAAGGGTCCTCTTGAGGCCGTACTTGTTCACTGCTTCATTGCCTGCTCTGAACCCTTCTCCATAAGCTGCTGAAGTATCTGACTCTATTTGGTGTTTGAAAAACTCACCAAGTTTCTTCTCAAAATCTGAACGTTTACCCTTCTTTGATGATGCAGGAACAGAGGAAGATGACGACGACGACGACAATGAAGTTGAAGCAACATTGCTTGCAGAGCCAGCCACGACCTCAGAAACCAACCACATATGAGCTAACACTTGGCAGATACCTTCTTCAACATCAGGACTTAGATTGGGGTAACCTGTAACACGCTTAGGAATTTTCAGTTGAGAAAATATTAGAGAAGCAAGTTTTTGAGGTAATATATTTGTCACAGATCGGAAAAAGCACCTTTGAGCCGTAGCCATGCGTGCATCATCTCGTGAGCTAGGATTGACCCCGTCAACAGCCTGAATTTATATCAGAGGGGTTTTTGGTGGCAGAAATCAAATTTCGAGCATGACTTAATAAGTAAAAGAGAAATTTATAAGAAAAGTATTACCTAGGGAGACCATACAAAATTAGGATAGCTGTCACTTCACATCGACGAACTAGCCTATAAGGTTCTGTAAACATGTCTGTAATCCGGGATCCCCCAATCCTTGGCCTCCTTAAAATCTGGTAATTTTAGCAAAATAAGTATGGGACTATTTCCGAGCAATTTAAAGATTAGGTATTGGAAAAATAATTGCATACAGTGCTGACGGTTTGTTCCTCTGACAAGCAAAGTCCTCTCGTTTCAGGCAAGTGATGATGACCCTACACACAATAAGGAAATGGAAAACAAAGAAAATTAGTTCATAATTACACTCGTCAAATATTTTGGTAACAACAATTTAAATGTATTAGCCTCACATTTTTTTCTCCTTCCATGGCTTCATTTAGAGCCTGCCTCTCGACCAAGAGTAACGGAATTTGCTGTTCCACTTTCATATTTAAACCCTCGTAAAAATCTTGTATTTCGAGGTAAAGAGGTTGGCATTCATGTGTTTCCATTATTGTAGAGTCCAGACACTCCAAGCACAGCTTTCGACCATCATCAAGCACTAAATATCTCGTGTCCCTTGCCTACATATATAGGAAAGCTTTTATTAACATTTTCAAGAAAATAGAGAAATTTTGGGTGTTTCTTGGTGATCTTCTATTGCTTCTCTTCATTTTCACAAATTAATATTTTTTTCCCCCAAATCTGACCTCCATTCTTTCACAGCTACAGCACCTAGGTGTTCCATCACGCTCATGTGAAGGGCAGTATTTTTGTTGCCAAAAAGAATGTGCTCTATACTCTATGAGACCAGCTGCATTTGTTGGGATCTAGACAAAGATGAAAGTAAAGCAAGATGCACAAGGCACCATATGGTTAGCATCATATACACACAAATAAAGGAGGGAAATTCTTTATTTTGAAGTAGCACATAATAGTCGTAAGTAACAAGCATCAAGTACAAAGACCCGAATCTTATATGTATCTGAAAAGTGATTCATTAGAATTCAAAGTAGCAACAGTGATGATGGTTAAGATTTGTGCTAGGAAAATTGGGAAGCGTTGGGGAGTTTCTACCTGAAATACAGTAAAAATAGCCATGCATATCAATCGTTGAATGCAAAAATTAATTCGGTCGGTGATGGCCCTCAAAGGACACTTTAAAAAAATTCTTAAAGTAAATATTTCCAGATATTAAGTATACACTTACAAAGTACTTGCAAACATCACATCTTGGGTGATGCTTCTCCTTGTAGCAGGATTTGTGGTAAGGGAGATTCTCGGACACAGAAAACTGTAAAAAGAAAGGAACAGTGGAAACTCTGAGTATGAAATCCAAGTGATGCTCACAAACCACCATTAAGAAAGGGAAAGCAGCTAAAGACAAAAAATTTGTTAGCCAATTCCAAACAAACGTTAAAAATCAACTTGAACTAGATTTGGACCTCATGTTCAGAAATAGGTAGATCGCAAACATGACAACGGAAACATTCTGGATGCCAAACAGCTCCCATGCAACTCAAAATTCTTCCATGACCAATTTCAGCATTGCAACCAGCACAGATCCTACAACAAGACATTGTTCAATGAACAAGGTCGGGTATCAGATAATGTAAGAGAACTGCACTTTCCTACTGAAATTTCAAGTAGTGTTGCAAGAACAATAATTTACCTGTACCCAGATGGATAGTACGGATAGGGTGTAAACAAATTTCCATAATCATATCGTGGTGGAGAAGTCATATACAAACTTTCTTGAATCGCCTTGGCAAGTTGTTCATCTTCTTCCAATTGAGATTCATTATCTAGTAAATCAATAGAAGAAATAAAATTAGAATCCAAACAACAATAATATAAGAAAGAAAGTAATAGGTGCCTTTCATTCTGATTGAAGGTAGATATTATTAACAAAATAATATAAAACAACTGCAGATTATGCATCCACCAAGAGCGCATCTAAGGACTGTTGTACACATATAGAAACTGGTATTAGAGGCTCAATTTTCACCATTTCATTTCGTATTTCCTTTTGAATAAATTTCACACTACCTCAGTAATTTGTCATGTTAGATAATAGCCACAAGTACTTTTTTCCACCACACAATTGACTTGAATGTTGTTCAAGGTCACTTCTGATGTCAATGTTAACTTACCAATTACTTTTTTCCCTTTCTGATCTTCTTCTGAATAGGATTGTGCTATAGCACGGTCAATATCTTCATTCTCAAAATCAGGCCACGCATCCTACATCGAAGTCCGCCAACAACATAGAGTTAGCACAGTAAAAATCAAGGGAATAGAGAACATTGGGGCTTCGGAGCAATTCACTCACAGCATTAATTAAAAATGTGCTTACTTTGTCCTACCACCAACCATGGTTAGAGATTTGGAGATCAGACCAAACTAACCATGTGACAGGTGCACCATATCATTAAGACATAGATTAATAACCAGCAACAGCAGTAATTACCAAAGTAGACCCAGCCAAAAAAAAACAAAAAATACCATAGTTGAAGGGCCATCCCAAATTTTGTCGTCCCCATGCTTCCCAAAATATTGCCCTTTTGATATTTTTTGGTTGGAGCCATTGAGAAGATTGCTGATCCAACCCATAATGTGTTATGTTAACTGCCTGTGGTTTGGCAATTTTTGCCCTGCACACCTTACAATTCATACAGTTAAGAGATTCAGCTAACCCAAATGAAAAAAAAAAAAAAAACGATAAAAGAAGGTAACTTAGCTCAACTCAGCAATGCTTTATTGCCAAGTAATTCAAATGTAGAAAGAAAGGGGGAAAAGAAAAAGAAAAGAAGAAGAAGAATTTCATTAGCCAGTAGACCTTGGAACAGTCAACCTTTAATCTTCCATTTACATCTAAATTCTTGGGGGCAGAATGGATAACAAAACAATCAAGTACAGAATTCTCCACAAATATCAATTTTTGGAACCATTTTTTTTTTTTTTTTTCATCTAAAAGAATTTCAAATTTGTTTTAGACATATATAGGACATAATTGTTTAGAGAGGCTTATGTGACATTGAAAATACGAGACATAAAATCTAACTATAAACAGGATGTATCAAAACTTTAATCAGAATATCATGGATAAACCTTCTGATTTTGAGGCATAAACTTCATTGAACATTCCAAACAACAAAAGAAAGAAGAGTGGAAAAATATTCAAGCAAATTCAGCACAACCTGGGAGAAGAACTATAATCGAATTTTGCTAGTGATTCAAGAAATCACATATTCATCTTCAAGATTCAGAATTGTTGTTTATCCCCTCCATTACAATATCCTCGATAAACAAACCAGCGGTAAATACAGAATCAATATTCCATATACAGAATTGGCAAATTGTTTCCACTACCCATTATCTCAATGACATTACATATGAATACGAGTAGCCTAATTTTCAATATCACATGCCACAATTACAAAAAGACAACAACCCACCAAACAATATCAAATGAATTTTCCCAGATTGATGTGCCTTTGACAAATTTATGACTTAATGTGCAAAAATTACCAGTAAACTGAAGAAACAAATAACATCATGTGTCAGGGAACTCACAACAAACAATTTGCAGGTGAGTAAATGAAACACTGATCAGTTGAAGAAGTACCCAAATCACTTGCACCACAAAGAATTAGATGACAAAGAAAAAATGTATTCTTTTCCCCACATGCCCTCTATTACTCTTCGGTCCTGACAATAGGAAAATAAAGGGCAAAAAACAGAGAGAACCCAAAACAGTGATAGATCTTGTCGGTTATATACTAAAACCACACAGAGATGAACATTCCAGATTCCAGTAAAGAAAGGAACAAAATGGAGAAAAGTCTACTTGAGATATACGCAAATAAAGGCAAAAAGGGGGTGGGGGATGAAAATGATAAAAGTTGAATCTTTTTTGTCATAAGAAGATCGTCCATATATCTATCTTACCCTTTTAGATGTGGGTCCTTTGCCTTTGCCCCCATTTTTAACCATAGTTAATGCTTGCGCGAGAAAGGGCTATAAAAACACCATTGACAAATTGTCATGAGGAAAATAGAGACTAATATATATGTTCTTGGGTCTTCAGTACTGTAATAACAACATCCTCAGAAACAAGTAGACTAGTGTTTTATTATCAATTTTTCTTTTTTCTCCTTCAGGTAGAACTAAACATATGTCAGATAATATCTGACAGAAATCAGTTGTGTGGAAGTTACCAAATGGGGAATGAATGAGAGGTCCACTGCCCCTCGCACTTTCGCAATATTTAAAAGTGACTACCCCTTGTTTGGGGATGGATTTTTTTAATATTTTTGTGATTTTTTAATTTTTTATTAAAATATAATGTAAAAAAATTAATATGTTTGGAATAATGTTTTAATTTTATATGAAAAAATATACAAAAAATAAAGAAAAAATGAAATATTTAACTTTTTTATATAAGTTATTGACTTTTTAATTTTTTTAATGAATTTTTTACTTTTAAATTGAATAATCCAAACGACACGTAAATGTGTTGGATTATTTGAAAAAATATGTTAAAAGTTCATTTTTTTAATTTTTTTTAACACGTGAAAAAACTAAAAAAATAATGCAACTTAAAAAAATTAATTTTTAACTTAATTGTCAAAAGAAACCTTAATTACCGACCAAAAAACTTCCCAAACCAAGCTTTTTAGCCCAGGCTAAAATAGCCAAAAAAGCCAAAAAGCCAAAAAGCCAACCCACTTCCCAAACGGAGGCGTAAATGTGTTGGATTATTTGAAAAAATATGTCAAAAGTTCATTTTTTTAATTTTTTTTAACACGTGAAAAAACTAAAAAAATAATGCAACTTAAAAAAATTAATTTTTAACTTAATTGTCAAAAGAAACCTTAATTACCGACCAAAAAAATAGCACTCGGTCTTTTATGTCTCTCATAGCATTTCTATTGAAATGTGTCAGAGAACAAAAAAAAGTAACAATAATGATTCATCCCATTAAAAACATCACCACTAATAGCACTAATGCATTAAAAAAGTTAAAAAAAAAAAAAACACAACTCCAAGACCAAAATATCACATCATTAATGACGGACCCACTGCCATCTAATTAGTGTTCCCAAGTATTTTTCAAACAACAATGATTCATCCCCCTTTTCCTTCCACCCCTTTGACCCCCTCTCTCTCTCATTGGTTACATTTTCTTTTTCTTTTTCTTTTTTTTCCTGCTCCTCCAATCACCACCAGCCACGTGGCAAGGGGGTGAGGGGGTGACCCTCAAAAGGGGATCCCAAGCATTATTCTTTTTCAAAAAGTAATGAAACTGGCAATGCGTCAGGTTTTTTCAAATTTTAAACATGAATTCTTGATTTTGAATTTAATTAGTTTATTAATATAATTTTATATTTAATTCTAACCGCAGCAGATTTGTTTTATTTATTCTTGGGTTTAATCTTAGTTTATCAATATTCTTTGAAACATTTTCTATTAGAACCGAGTTAAGAAAAACACAATTAGATAAGAAAATTTTGTCATTCTTACTCCAATAAATATGTTAAAATATGTGTAAAGTAAATATAAATTTTAAAAAATAAAATTACGTAAAATCGCTCATACTCCCTCTCTCCTCTAATCACTCAACAGGTTCTTTCCCAACTCTCTCTATCTCTACTCTTCTCTTCTCTTTACTAACTCACCCTCTGTATAGTTAACAACACTAATAACACCAACACATAAGTTAACACATCTTTTAAGGAAAAGAATATAAAAAATATACTGATCTTTTCTTTTAATCTTTTTTATTATAAAGTTAATAGATTACACTAACATACAGATTAACACATTCATTGAAAATGCTCTTGCCTTTTGTTACATCCCTTTCACATAACATCACAAGCCCACTTCCCTTGTATTTATAATAAGTGGTTCATTGTGATTTAATTGGTAGTATTATTACCTTAATTGTTAAGTTATTGAGCTCAACTCCTTTAATTAAGAGTTGATAAAATTATGATTGTTAAATCTGTTATATATTTGTGATTATATGTTATTTTATTATATATATTATTAAATATTTAATTGGGTATATTATAGTTACCCCCTTGAGATTTCTGACATATATAGAGACCTCTCATGTGGTTTGAACAATTACAATAACCTCTCCTGCTTTACCTGACAATATCAAGATTCTCCCATTCCGTCTAATTTGCACAAACGACGTTAGTATCCTATAAAAAATGACCATATTCAGCCCTTTGTTCAAGACTAACATCACTACCTATGATTGACCAACACAACCATGAACCCATTCTCTATGCTCCAAGTCTATAAGGACTTGGTCTCTCTCTGTCTCTCTCTTTCATCCTTCTCCTCTCGCTACACAACCATACATATCAAAGGTGAGAGATTAAGAGTGTAGATGAGAGAGAGAGAGAGAGAGAGAGAGGAGAAAATGAAGCCATTGTTGTCAATCATCTTCTTGTTCTCTCTTGGCTTCCAATCTAAACCAGTCATGGCCATCTCCAAACAACTTCTCTGTAGGTTTCATCGCCGATGGCTCCGCATACTTCGTCACCGTCACCTACAACGGCATCCCAGTCTGGAAAGCTGGCGGTGATTCTGGCGACGTCGATTCCTGCGCTTCTTTCCAGTCCCTCAGCAACGACAACCTCCACCTCATCAATTCTTCCGGCGCTGTCGTCTGGTAGTTCAACATCGCCGGCCGCGGCGTTTCCTCCGCTACCCTCGACGACTCAGGTAACTTCATCCTTAGAAATTCCACCGATTTGGTCTAGTCCACCTTTGATAACCCTACTGATACTCTCTTGCCTAATCAAAATTTCACTGGTAGCAAAAAATTAGAATCAGGGTTGTTCTCTTTTAGACTTTGAATCTCTGGAAATTTGACCCTTCAATGGAATAACTCGATTGTGCATTGGAATTCAAGTGTGAATTCGTCCATCAACATAAATTTTACATCACTCATTTTACGACTTCAATCAATTGGGTTGTTATCACTCACAGATCCATCATCTTCTGCCTCTGTGATCATGGCTTATGGTAGTGATTATGCTAAAGAGACTGATATACTTAGGTTTTTGAAATTAGACAGTGATGAGAATTTGAGGATTTATAGCTCTCCTAAGGGTAATGGCCCCACAGTGCCAAACCCTCATGCGTCTTCACTGGGAAATGAAAAGGGCAATGGTTGGAAGCTGCACGCTTCGATTGTTGTTGTTGTAGTTATAGTCACCATTTTGTGTTTGGTCACATTAAAGGGAGGTTTGTGGTGGTGGTGTTGTAGAAACAGTCCCAAATTTGGGAATTTGTCTACTCAATATGTTCTTCTTGAGTACGCCTCTGGCGCTCTAGTCCAGTTCTCGTATAAAGAACTACAACGTACCACGGAGGGTTTCAAGGAAAAGCTTGGAGCTGGAGGATTTGGAGCTGTTTACAGAGGCGTTCTTGCTAATAAAACTATTGTTGCAGTAAAGTAGCTTGAGGGAATTGAGTAGGGTGAGAAACAATTTAGAATGAAGGTTGCAACAATAAATAGAACCCGCTATTTAAATCTTGTGAGATTGATAGGGTTCTACTTTGAAGGTTGTCACAGGCTTCTGGTATATGAGTTCATGAAAAATGGATCCCTTGATAGTTTTCTCTTTACAACAGAACAACAGTCTGGGAAATTCTTGAAGTGGACACTTAAGGACATTATGGGCATTTTAATATTTATAGTTGATGACATCAGTAGAGTCTGTTAGATGTATAAACAATTGTCAAATTTGGGAAGAATCTTGACTTTGTCAGGTAAAGCAGGAGAGTTTATTATAATTATTTAAACCACATGAGAGGTCCTTGTATTTGTCAGAAACCTCAAGGGAGGTAAATGTAATTTACCCTATTTAATTTAATGTGATTTTTATAAATGATTTCTTATCAATTCTCTTTTTCATAATATGTAAAGGGATGTATTTCTATTTTTTAAAAGTTAATATGAAAATTTTGAAAACAAAACACGATAAAAATTAAATAGTTAGACCTATTAAATTAAATTAATTTATGATTGGATTGGCCCCATAGTTGTATTTTCGTTTGCATGGGGTCCATTAGTTGGGCCAATCATATAAGTACATGTCGTCAAACCTTTGCTCCAACATTGACTCGGCTTGTTGTGGCTTGCTAACTCAAAAAGAAAGAATTTTCTAAATAAATGATTTATTTATTATTTTTTTTCAGCCAGTATCTTGGAATCATGTGATTCATGACAAAAGCGTAGCAATTCATGATTCATGCCAACCTCAAAATCAAGGAAAATTGTAATATATACTCATCCAAAAAAATTGTATATTATATTTGTAGGAGAGGGTTCGAGAAAAGAGTTGGAAAATTCGAAAATCTTCGAAGATCCTTGAAGAACAATTTCGAATTCTCTAGAATATGATGAGAGGCTTAGATTCTTCAATAATCTCAACTTAGGAACACGACAACAAAGGAGATGATGGAGATAAGAGATTGGACCAACTTTTTTCAAATGCAATAAGTGTACTACCAAAAAAAGTTGGATTCCCCAAAAGGGACCAATATTTTGGGACGGAGGGAGTAATATATACTCATCCAAAAAAATTGTATATTATATTCATCTCTATTTTTAATTGTTAAATTTAAAAATAAATAAATCTAATTAATAGATTATGATATTGTAATCATAATCTCATATTAGGTAACTTAATTAGTAGTTCAAAACCAAATTAGTATTATTCAGCTTGTTTGATTTTGGTTTTCAAAAAACACTTTTCAGAAAATTTTACTTTCTTATTTTTCATATTTTTTTGTTTTCAATATTTTTTTTAATATTTTAAGAATTTTTTTTAAAATTTTTAGACACATCTAACATAAATACACTTAAAAAGTATAATATTTGTGAAATTATTTTTAAAAAATTCACTAAATACCAAAAATATTTTAAAAAAAATTCAATACATTTTTCATATTTTTTTGTATTTATTCATTTTTTTAAATTTTTTTTGACAAATATTTTACTATTTATATACATCTAAGTAAGGTGCATCTTAAAAAATAAAATAAAAAAGCCTAAAATTTTAAAATTATGCACTAAAAACCAAAAAAAAATAAAAATAATACAAAAACAAAAAACGTACACTATGTTTGGTTTGCATTTGGGAGATGAGTTTTAGAAAAAAATTTCTAAAAAATTATTTGGTTTGAGTTTTTCTCAAAAAAATTTAAAAATCACTTTCTCTCTCTTACACATCAATCAATCACTTTTTCTCTCTCATCTTTCATTCTCAATCACTTTTTCTCTCATTCACATCTACTCAAATTCTCCCAAAATATCAAATCATCCCAAACTCCCAAAAAAATAACTCTCCCAAAATATACAACCAAACAAATCAAAAAAAATTCTAAACTCTCTCTACAAATTTTTTTTCAAAAACAACTCTACCAAAAACAAACCAAACAAACAATCTTCAGAAAACTGAAACCAAATACACTGATTATTTTTCTTTTCAAAAATACTACAAAGGTTTTGTTTAGGGTAATTTTTCATAAATTAAAAGTTACTCATAATAAAAAATAATAATTTAGAAACAATTATTTATATATTTATTTATTAATAATCAGCTTATTTAAATTAGCTTTGTCTAAGAAAAAATTGAACCAAAACACTTGCCACAAATTTATTATCCTCAAAATCATCTGTTTTCTTGTCATATATTTTTAATTATTAAATCATATCTCAAAATTCATGTGCTTTAAAATTTTGACATAATTTAATAATTGAATATACATTGGAACAAAAAGAAAAAAAAAATTAAGGAGACAAATCCTTGAACCTTAAATTTTGGCCCTGATTGGTAGGACTTATTTCCAGCTTATTTCAGCTTTTAGCTTAATTTAAGCTATTTTGATGTGTTTAGTTCAGCTTAACAATACAGTTTATAGCTTTTTGTAAGTCAAAAATCAACTTATTCTTTGAATAGGGGAGGAGAAACTTAATTTATAAGTAAAAAACCAGCTTATGTTTACAGTTATAAGCTATAAGCTGTTAAACTATAAGTTATAATCACTTTCCCACAACTCTACCAAACGGGGCCTTTATATGCCATACAGACCCACCCAAAATCGGTTTGGATATAAATTCCTAACACTAACCAAACACTATCTTCTACAAAGAAAAACTTCAATGCCGTGCTTTTCAATAATATCAATGGTTTACCTCCACTTCTTGTTCTTTTTATTTATTATAAATTTTTATTTTTGGGCAATCTTATTGGCTAGATAATTAATTATGAATTCATTTTTCTTTTATCTAAACCTTTTTTTTTTTAATCCGACTACAAGAATGATGAATTTTAAATGCACAGAGGTTCAAATGGTCTCTATAAGTGAAAGATAATTTACCACTTACAATGTTTTTTTTTTTTTTTTTATTCATAAGAAAATTAAACAACGGGACCAGGGATACAACACAAAACAGAGAGGGCAAGAGACTAAGCCCTCACCGAATTTGCAGATATCAAGTCTGCTACAAGAAAGGTAGTTACATTGTTTGGAGGCTCCTCAAGAAATATTAGATGTTCTTTTTGGTTGACACCTACGTTGGCCAAAGCATCAGCAGTTTGATTGGCTTCTCTTGGAACATATTGAATGGTGCATCTACATCTCTTCAGTATAAAGTTTCCATCTTCAATCAGTGCTCTGTAGGGATGGGTTCCTTCCGCTCCATCATTGATTAGTTTCAAAGCAGTTTGGGAGTTAGTTTCGATCTGTATATCTTTAAGCCCCTTTTGCATGATAATGGTGAGTCCTCTATACAGTCCCCATAACTCAGCTTCTAGGTTGGTGCAGTTGCCCAAGTAACTATAATACTCTCATATCCAGCTACCAGCTTCATCCCTAAGCAGTCCTCCGTATCTTGATTGCCCAGGATCACCCTTGGAACATCCATCAGTATTTAGCTTGAGTTTACCTGCAATAGAAAGAAGCCAAGAAGTTAGTCTAGGCTCTAAATAGTTTAGGTTGAGTATATTATTAAAGGCTGCTTGAATTTCCTGGGCCTGCTTCAAGATGGAACAAATAGTGATGTGAGGGGAGGAATTAAGGTTATCAAACACTGCTTTATTTCTCTCTCTCCAAATGGTCCAAAGAGCTGTCAAGAATATGATAGGCCATTTAATTTCTACCAGCTGGTCTTTGGTTTTCATGTTGGTTTTGATCCAATCTGCTAGGGTTTTGTTGTTTCCACAGTTTCACCAGTTAGTATTTTTAAGCATTATCCAAATGGTTTTTGCTTTGGAGCATTCTCTAAGTAGGTGGTCCATGTCTTCCCTTGTTGTCTTTCATCTGGGGCAGATATCAGAATCAGAAAGGTTCCTGATGAGTCACATTTGATTTGTTAATAATCTACTATGCATTACCAACCAGAGAAAACTTTTTAGTCTTTGAGGAGCTTTAATTTTCTAGATCCATTGCCAATCTTCCCCATTGTCTTCTTGTTCAGAAATAGCCTTGTAAGCAGCTGAGGTGGAATGATTACCAGTAGAAGAACCCTGCCATATGGGAGTATCCATGAAGGTTACAGACCTGGGTCTATATATATTCAGAATAGTGTGTTTTATCTTGTTGGGAAATCAGGTCTTGTATTGGTGTGAGATCCCAGCCTCCTTTATCATTAAGGATGGAGTTGACCCGTGTTGTATCGTTGATATGAGGTCCTTGACTCACTACAAGAATTAACACTTTTGCCGATCAAAAAATTGGTCGCTAAAAGTCCATTTTTAGTCGGCAAAAGTTATCCGTGACCAATTTTTTTAGTCGCTACTTTGGTCGCCAATTGAGGGTCGGCAAAAGTAATTCGTGACCAAAATTTTTGTTGGTTGGGAAAAGTTAGATTTGCCAACTAAATATTTGGGCGCTAAATATATCATTACTGCGACTAATCCATTTTGTCGCTAAAACATTTTGGTCGCGAAAAGTGATATTTTGCCGACCATATATCTTAGTCGCCAATTGTCACATTCCACGACCAAATAATTTGGTCGCCAATTATCACATTCAACGACCAAAAAGTTTAATTGCCAATTGTGACATTTCACGACCAAAAATTTTGGTCGCCAATTGTGACATTCTACGACCTCTTAATTTGGTCGCCAATTGTCATATTTCACGACCAAAATAATTAGTCGACAATTGTCACATTCCGCGACCAAACATGTTTGTCGCCAAAAGAAATGTTTTCGCAACTAAAACTTTAGTCGGCAATAGACCTATTCGCGACCAAATCCTTTGGTTGCCAAAATAAATAATTTTAACGACTAATTATTTAGTCGCCAAATGTGCTTGGTGATACACCGACTACTTTATTTAGTCAGCAAAAGTATAACTTATCTTTCCCGACTAATCAATTGGTTGCCAAAACTAGAAAAACAAAACCAAATTTTGGTCGCCAACATCCAACAAAATAAACCTGTAATTTATAATAATCCACCCAATTTTTTCAATATAATTTGTAATTTGCAAAAATCATTCAAACCAACAAATAAATTGAATCATGAACATTCAACCAAATACATATATCAACCATTTCTGAACCTGTTTAATTAAAATCAGCAATTATTATAAGTTTTCATCCACAAATAATTCCAAACTACATATTTCATCTAGCATAAAAATTTAAAACATAACAAGTACTTGTTATTATGTTTTAAATTTTTATCCATGTACATCAACCGAAAAATATAACGAGTAGTCTACCAAATATTTTCTATACACACCCATCCAAAAATATAACTACTAGTCTACCCTAATATTTTCCATATACATCTATACAAAATTATATAATCCTTCAAAAAATGCAAAAAGTGCCAATTTGTCATGTGCAATTTAGCTTTGAGCACGAGTTCATCCATCTATACCAAAGAAAAAGTTAAATAATGTCAGGTAAAATTGGACAAATAATGAAAAATGTCGATGAAAAGCAAAGGTCATAAAGAGCAAATTAAATGACTATCATTATCAAATTATAAATAAAACAATATGATTCTTATAATTGTGATTGTAAATAAAACAAGTGTGTACTCAAATTGTAAATAAATAGCATTCTTATAATTGTAAAACAATAGCATTCTTATAATTGTGATATAGGGGTGCTATTGCTTTATTTAGGCTGTATATTCTTTCTATTCTCACTTCAGCTGTGCTAGTCGCACAGAGGAATTTTCATATAATAGATTATTAAACAGGCACAAGGTGATCCACATGTGTTTATTCTTTGTGTTTGTTCTGTGAAAAATAAGTCTTTAGTGATTTTTTTTTTAAATTTTTTTTTTTTAGTCTATAGTGATAATTGTGAAAATTCTAGTCAAGAGATTTTTGTTTCTTTTTGTTTTTTTTTTGAACTATTAAAAAGATTGGTACTAGCTAAATGTGTCAAAACACAAACACATTATTATTATTATTATTATTATTATTATTATAAATGCCTAGGCCAATAGCACCGCCTCAAGTAAAATCTTCTAGAGCCAGTTGACCAAAATGAGAGATTCCAAATCCCTTGAACAATACGCCTCACATGTAAAGGTTCTTGGACCACCACTTTATGCATTATGTCAAAAGTTAAGTGTGTACTCAATCTTTTCCCTCCTAAATACACATTAATGTGTGCTAATTGGGTGGCGTTGTTAATCGCCCAAAGTGAGAAGCAAAAATATTCTCACAAAGATGTTTCTTAGTATATCATCATGACTATTGAAGTCATGTGTAGTAGCAATACCATACCAAATACGACGATTAGTGGGATCTTGGGCTAAGTCTTGACTAAACCTTAAAAATCTTAATGCCACAATGCCTTTCAAATCCTCTTAGCCATTTTCTTACTACAGTAATTCTTGCTAAGAAGAATGCACATGTTGTGGCAATTCCACCTAAAAGATATATAGTTACTCCTACAACACATCTATGTACAGTGCTCGAGGATCTATGCTCTATATCACGAGCAGCTTCAAATTTATTATGAACCCAAATGATGGATTCAATAAGTTAATGCCAATAACAAAGTCTGCTAAATATAAATATTAACTAAAAAGCCTTTGAAAATGACCGTCTAGGAAAAAAGGCCATATGCAGATAAATGAATGAAAAATTGATGTCACTTGCACATGACACCTCAAATATTATAGAAAGCCTAAAATGGCCTAAAAGGGGGAGATATGAATAAAGTCATTTGAAAACATTTTACAACATTCAATTTTTCATCTATTTTATGTAACAGATAATTAAAAGAAGGTTCACATTGACACAAAATTAATATTTCAAAGTAGCAAAGTAGAGTATTTTTTAGTTGAGAGAAATAAAGGGATACCAAATGATAGTTCAAAGGGATAAAGTGTATTTTTATTTTTATTTTTGCACAACTTGATAAATAAACAAACTTTATTAAGAAATCATCAAGATAATGCAAAGAATACAAAAAGACATCCCCAAATTGGGGAGAAAAAACAAGCCCTAACCAATCACAAACATATCTAGGATAAAATGTAATTTAACCTAATATTATTACTACCGAGTAAGTTTTAGATTCTATTATTCATTTACACCTTTTAAGAGATTGACTTATTTGACAATAATTAACAAATCATGTTCATAGAAACATTAATATTTTTGTTGTTCTTCACTTGTGCTTTTGTGTTAATGACTTTGATGCTCATGTCGGACAAAAAGCTTATATTTCAGTAGTTTGACTAACCACACAAACCATGTTAAAACTATATGGACTTATAAACCCATGAATCATGAAGAACATCTGAAAATGTCCTAACTGCAATCATATGTACACAGAGATGGTTTTCTTGAGTACCTTTGCAACAGGTCGCAATGGCCTTCAGACTACAAGAAACACTAAAACAAGTTTTGCTAAAAACTTTACCAGTGAAGCTGAGCATCTTTTGGGGTCTTTCAAACATGAAAAATATCTTTGTATGACTTTTGATCCATTGGATCTACTCTAGTAGTCTGCTAGCATTAAAATACTAATGAAAAAACAAACAGACAGAACGTATCTGTACAACTGATCAGATATATATATATATATATATATTTAAGCTTTAAAAAACTAAACCATCATCAACAACTGGATCTAAGAAATTGGGTTACTATAGAGGGCACCTAAGGTTTAATGGCTTTGAGAACTGTATGATTTAAGAAACTAATATACAGTCACACTCAAATCCCAATTGCTTGAAGCTGGTTTTGGATACAAATGATCTTTGATTTTAAAAGGTAATAAATAAATAACCACCAACCACTGCATAGATGTGCCCTGAAATCCTTCCCACTTCAATTTAAACTCTATATATGGATAATACTCTGTCCCAACTATTCTACACACATTGCAGACTAACTAAATAAATCCATTTCAATTAGTATATTGTCATATGTCACACCACACCAGTATGCATGACAATTCTCTTGCAAAGTGCTTAAACATCACCTCATTTTTTTTTTAATTACAGAAAATTTAATTAAAAAAAAATGAGGTGCTCTTGAACATGTGCTTATGATCAAATGCAGAATGAAGGGAATTCTTACAAAGATGTAATTTTCTCTTTTGTTGTAAAATTGGGAGAAGAATTATTAAAGACGACATACCTCTTCATGGAGAGCCGTGACAGCTTTCATCAACTGCACATAATTAATGTTTGGTAAGCATCATCATCAATATACTTTTTGATAATCAGGTTGTGTTGTCTTCTCAGTTTGTTGGGGTCATGTGAATTTGAAATTTAATTTAGTACACATTTTAGAATCATGTTTATAATATCAACATATAGGCTATAGCAATAAGAATGAGTGACAATTGATACCTGGAAAGATGACACTAATCTTAGGAATGATAAGACACTCGATTTGTTTCATTCTTCCAAGAATTGAGCATTGAATTTTGTTTTTAGCTTCAAGCCTTCTTTCCTAGTTTTACTCTACATTTACCATATCACTACATAATCAACCCAATTTCAAAATTTAAAAGAATTCAACCTCAATCATAACAGGTGTCTACAAGCATAATTGCTTAGTAAACCTTTGTATTGCTTGTCTTTTTCTTTTTTTCCCCCCTCTTTTTAACATATGGAAATAGCACACCCCCATACCAAGAGCCAAATAACTTAAATAACTTAAAGTCCATACACATCACACAAAAAAAGCCTAACTCGTAAGTTGTACCAATTGTACTTAAAGTCCACACACATGATCACACAAAAAAGGCCTAACTCGTAAGTTGTACCAATTGTCTTACATAGGTTAAGAAGGGTGTCGGCATTCACCCTCTAGGTAGGATAAGGATACAAACACCAGGGGAGCACATTAGTAATATAAGACAATTATGACAAAGTAAACACGCATTTTGATCGACTATTACCTTCTGATCTTTAATTTGAGACAGGTAAACTAAAGATTCTGTAGATGCATGGCCAGTCACTAATATGGACTCATGAACATCTTAGGTTGTGACATCAATCCATCACATTATAACTTTTTTATTTATCTTGTTTCTTCTTCTTCTTCTTCTTCTTCTTAAATGAATTTTTGGCATTAGTATATGATATTTAGGTGCTCATTGGGGTTGGTAGGTAGGTCATATCTCAAAATTCAGAAGTACAGTACCTGCACAATATCAAAATTGAACTGTTGATAGTCGATTCACTGAATGCCTTTTGCTTCTCATATATTAGGTATGACAATGTTCTACTTCTCTTCATGTAATGAAATCTAATCAATTTTTTATTTCTATGGGCCAAGTACTGAAAATCATCCAGGTTGTGGTTTAAAAATTAAAGATGGAAATTTAAATGGGTTAATCAGGAGGAGTATTAGAAAACTGACCTTTTTTTATTCTGGTTTGGCGGAGTATAGCATCTAATTGGTGTTGTACTTGAGTGAGCTCTGCCATATCTAGCTGCTCAATCTTTTGCTCTTCAAAGTGCCTGCAAAAGTGCAAAAGAAACACCTTTACAAATCCATTTTAGTGAAACATGTAGATGCAAGAACATGATATCTGGCACTGTGAGTGTTACCTTTGAACCATTTGAAGTAGGTTGGTGCCTCTACTGAAATCCATATATCCATCCGTAAGCTTCTGTTAGTGTACCAAATGAGATAAGTGAAACTAATAGTAAGATTCCCTATGCCCCATCTAACTCAAATAAAAATTTAACATCTGATATCATAGGGGTGCCCTCTATAATGCTGATAAGGCAGTTATGATGCAACAAAAGTAAACTAAGGGCATGTTTGATCAGGATGATTATAGCATAGGATTAATAATGCAAAAAAACATATAATTAGGATTACATATTTCTATATCCATTGCAAAACAAGCGTGGACAAGAGGAAATTATATATCTCACTAAACATCGAATGAAATAGTTCCAGATAAAAAAAGCTGGAGTTTGTCTGGAAAGAAATATTTTTTTTCATTTACTGTCACTTGCCTATTTACCTCTTCATTCATTTCATTTTTTATTATTTTATTTTGATTGATTAGCAACATAATAATTTTATTGATGAAGAAAAAGGAAACAAAAACAAAAACAGAGAGAGGACAAGGTGTCCTCTTCAAGAAGACCAGCAATTACATCAAAACAAAAATCCTAACACATCACAAATTGCTTTCCAATCTCTAGATATGAAAAAGAACGGAACCCTTTTTAAATGATTGGAATGAATAGGGTTGTATTCATTCACTCTATGAATAGAACCCTGGCCCCTCTATCTTCTAGAACATGACCATTAAAAAATCTTCTTTTCTTTTTTAATTTAAGTTTTCAAAATAAGCTTATTTTTCAGTAGACATCCTTGAAGTTGCCTTCTGAATGCATTTACAGTTTGTTATAGAATTATCAACTCTAACCAACAAAACAAAATAATCTTTGCCATTTTATTTGCACAACTTCATATCTGAATAGTGTTTAATGGCAGAAATTCAAAGCTACATCTCAATTTAATTGGCTAAAAAAATCTTTCAGAATCACACCCCTATATCTCACTTTAAGAATCATACTTTCAGAATCACACCCCTATACTTTCAAAGAAAGGAACTAAGAATTTTAAGTAGGATCACACCCCTATATCTCACAGATTGAATAATCAAAGCTAAATTCAGAATCTAAAAAAAGGTCTACTCAACCACCATACATATAAATCAATAAAGTTCCACAATGAAAATCTTCTAATTAAAAAAAATGAACACAAACCCCAGAATTCAAATTGACAATCAAACAAGAAACAAAGTGAGAACAACAATGTCAAAATTTTACACAGAAAAAATGACACTGAACAGTCAAGCACTATTGCTGCAATACAAAACATATATATATATATATATATATACATAAACCATAAAACCATCGTAAAACCCCAAATCAATGACACTGAACAACACAGTCATACAAAATCAACTCACATGTCGTCGATGTAGATGTGGCCTAGAAGATGAATCGAGTAGGGTCATTTGTCCTGGAATGTAATCCCCTGCGTTGAAACCTAGAGAGAGAGAGAGAGAGAGTAAATTAGGGTTTGATAAGAAGAGAGATCAATAATAGAATAGAAGGATGGGTAGTGTATGTGCCTGGAGGATGAGGTCGTCGCAGATATCGGCGATCTTGTCGTAGGATTTGGAAGCCATTGCGTCGCTGTGGATCGCTCACGACGGTTAGATCTCGGCCTAGGATTCAAATCTGATTTAGATTTCGACGATCTTCTCAGATCCGGCAGAGACACTAGTGGAGGAGGAGGAGAAGGAGGAGGATCATCGACAGCGGTGGGTGTTTAGGAGAGAGAGAGAGAGAGAGAGAGAGAGAGAGAGAAAGACACCAACGGAGGACGGAGGAGGATCATCGACGGTAGTGGGGATCTGCGGCGGTGGTCGTGGCGATCTGTGCCGATGGTGGTGGTCTGCGATGAGGTGAGGCTTGGTGGTGAAGGAGAATCTGTGTGAGAGGTTTGAACAAATGGCTGTAAACAGAGAATAGCGGCGGTGATATATATCCCACTAAAAAAATATTTCACCTTTAGCGACTAAATTGGTTTTTTGTCGCAAAATCCTAACATATAACGACTAAAATTTGGTCGGCCATTGTCTACCACTGCATTTAGATATCAAAACGACGTCGTTTTGATATCTGCAACTAAATTGTGCTAGTCGCTAAAAGATTTTACTGTTCCCGCCCAATTTATGACCTCCTGACACCATTTTTAGCGACTAATATTTTAAATTGGTCGCAAAAAATCACCTTTTTGTAAAAAAAATTACTTTAGTTGGTAATAGTATCAACTTTTAGCTACGAAATGTTTTTTGGTCGGCAAATATCATTTTTTTGCGACCAAAATATTTTTGGTCGGCAAAAGTGGTCGGCAAATATGTAAATTCTTGTAGTGACTGCTGTGGCAAAGGGGATGAAAACCACACCACCAATCAGTCCATAGTGAAATGTTTTCTCCATTACCTACACTCCATTTAATATTCTTTTCCAGCACATATCTGTTCTTTATGATGCTTTTCCATGTATAAGAAGCTAGTCTTTTGTTGGCCCAACTAGAGAAGGAATGCTTTGTGAGGTACTTTGATTTGAGGATTGAACACCAAAGATCTGCGGAATTGCTTGCAACTTTCCATCCCAGCTTAGTGATTAGGGCCAAATTTTGTTCTCTAGCCTTCCTAATTCCTAGGCCTCCTTGTTTCTTACTTTTGCAGACATTTTGCCAGTTGACTAGATGAACTTTTTTAGCATTTTCAGTGCTTCCCCAGAGGAAATTTCTATTAAGCCTATCAATTTTGTTGCAAATATCTCGAGGAAGTTCCATAGTCTGCATCAAATGGTTAGGAATGACAGATGTGACAGATTTGATAAGGGTAATTCTTCCTGCAAGGGATAAGTTCTTGGCTTTCCTTCCAGATAGCTTACTTGACATTCTTTCTATGATATCTTTGGTGTGAAGGTTGGTAATTCTGCCATAGAGAAGGGGGGTTCCAAGATATTTGCCCAAGTCGTTGGTTAAGGTCATGCCACATTGGTAGCTCAGAGGAAGAGCTTCTCTTTTGGGGATGTTGGGGGAGACATACATTTTTGACTTCTGGAAGTTGATTTTTTGTCCAGATATTTCACAAAATTCAGAGAGAACTTTCATAATACAATCACAATCATTTCCATTTGCCTTGGCAAAAAGAATTAAGTCATCTGCAAAGAAAAGGTGAGAGATAAGTGTGCTATGTTTGGAAGCTTTGAGGCCTATCCAGTCACCACTAGCAGTTCTGAGATTGATCATGTTAGACAAGTTTTCCATACAAAGAGCAAAGAGATAAGGGGATAGGGGATTCCCTTGTCTAAGTCCCCTCCCCACAGTAGTTTGATGTTTAAGTGGTTGTGATTATACACCTTTTTTTGTCATCAAATCATGTCGTCCTTTGGACAAATTTTTTTTTGATCAAAAAAAAAAAAAAAAAAAAATTGAATGAGTGGTCGCTTCTATTGGAATGTTGAAGGCCCTGTTCCTCAAAAAATTATTCACAATTTTTTTTTTTGACAAATATTTTTTAAGATTTTAGTTTACTTTCTTATTAAATTAGAAAATAACAATTACGGGTCTCTCAAAATCATAGTTCAAATTATTTTACTTTAATTATATATCTATATAATAAAGTAGGATGGTTTTTGAATTTGTCCTATACGGATTTGTTCTACTAAGACATTTAAACGGTTCAGATCTATTCAAATTATAAAATAATAGTTGAGATATATTTTTCAAAAAATATCCTACATATACATTTTCTATTTTTCTACTTCTCTCTCTTACTTTTTCCTTTTCTCACCCATCCTTCTATGTCCCATGATCCCACTTTCCTCTTTTTTTTCTTTTTATTTTTTTATTTTCTCCAATTTTTATTTTTCTCTCTATTTTTTTATTTTCTCCTTTTTATTCACTTATTTTTATTCATATTATATGGAAAAGTTTGCGATCTTAGAATTATGAGCCAGATTTTACTATGTGTAGTGGAGATTATATTAAAGAATTTTTTTGTCCACAAATTAAATGAATTTGAACAATTAATTATTATTTTTAAATATATTGAATACCTGATAGACTTCGTAAATTTAGACCTTATATGAATCTTCAATATATTTTAATAAAGCATGACAGTTTTTGAATCTTCAACATATTTTTGTCTTATTAGGATATTTGGATGGCTCAAATCTATTCAAATTATAAAATAATGGTTGAGATATAATTTCCAAAAAATGTTCTACTTATGCATTTTTTACTTTCCTGCTTCTCTCTCTTTACTTTTTTTCTTTTCTCACACCCCTTCTTCCATGATCCCATGATCCCACATTCATCTCTCTTTTATTTTTATTTTTTTATTTTCTCCTGTTTTTATTTTTTTCTCTATTTGTTTATTTTTTTATTTTCTCCTTTTTGTTCAATATATTTTACACATTTCTATACAATGTATGTATGCCCGTAATACACTAGGACATTATGGACATACATACAATTTCCATATAATTATATAAGCAAAAGCAGTATTGTATGTATGCCCGTGAAAATTGTATGTATATTATGCACATCTATCTATCTAGCTATATATTACGTAAGTAAAAACGAGTTTTCGTGAGGAATTTTGTGAGAACTCTAAAATTTTATAATAATTTTGTCGTTTTATCAAATTAAAAAATAAATTTAAATAGTGTTGGGATTACAATTATATTTTAATCCTAATATTATTTACACCGTGCCTTAAGGCATGGGTATACGCTAGTACATATATATATATATATATATATTAGTAGTTGACTCGTGCAATGCATGTGTTATTTTTATTTATTTATAAATATTTGATAGTACAATATGTGTTATAAAAGAACAATTTTAATATTAAAATTAAAATTAAAGTATGATTTTAATTATTTATTTTGATAATGTTAGCATTATCGTTTTATATAATTTTAGTTAAATTATTTATGTATTTTGATAATTTTAGTGCTATCACATTGTAAAAGTGTGATTATTATATAATAATTTTGTATAATATATCTTAAATTATAAAATAATAAAATAAATACTTATTTTGATATTAAAAATAATAGTTAAATTAAAAGAAGAATTAGTAACATAAAATTAAAAGTAATTGTAACTATTTAATTTTCTTTTATATTCATTTGGAAGATAAAAATATGTAGAAATAGAAATTACATAAAATTTATTTAAAAAAAAAACTAAGTATAAGTCTATTGTATTTGGATTATCATCTTAATGATTTTATACGATGTATATATATATATTAAATTATAAGATTGTAAAATAAACACTTTTAATTAAATTAAAATATCAACTATATAAAATAAATTTAACAACAATTAATAAAAAAAATCACATAATAACATCTAAACCCCCTAAAAAAATAAATAATAAATAATGAAAATATCCAAACGATAGATATATTTCAATGTGTGAAGTGATTAATCATCTATAATATGATATTAAATTATAAAAGAATTTACTGTTTAATAATTAAAAAAGTAAGTCAAGTAATAAATTTAAACTTTAGAAATTTTTCAAGAGTATTATACTATTTTAAAAAAAAAATAAATCATTATAATATGTCACATAAATATATAAAAAAAATATTATTTTTAATAATATATATATATATATATATATATTACACATGTTTTATCTTTTTATATATATGGATTTGATATACATATATATATATAAATTATGTAATCAATTTTTTTGATGAATTGAAATTAGCTTTGATATACATATATATATATATATATATTATATAATTTGCAGAGAGTGGCGCCAGAATGGGATTGACCGGAGTTAGGTAGTAAGAAGCTCAAAAAATTTTGGTAGTACGAACATCAAACCATATTCAGTAAGATCAAACCATCTCTCATATTTTTTTCTTTTTTTCTTCTCCTGACTAGAGGGAGATTAAGATGTAAAATTTATTACAAATTAATAGTTATATATATGAAACATATTATGTAAAATTAATTTATGTTATATAGATATAAAAAATATTATGCAAATTAGTATTATATATTATACAAATGTTTAATAATTAGTTAGAATATTTTTCAATCTGTCAATCTGTCTAAAATCGCCCAAACAGCGATTTGTCAATCCATCAATTCACTATTTGATTTATAATTTTACTCTAAAATCACCCGAACCGCACCCCACACACCCCAACTGCCACCCATAAAGACTAAGGCCTTTTTTACAATATAACTAATATAAGGGGAAGTTACGGACCGGTCCTTTGGACTAAACTTAATTCCTATGAAGTCTTGATTCAAAATAATTTAGCACATCTTTCATTTTTAACCCTTACATTCAGCTGAGTGATTTTACCCCAAACCCAAATACATGCCTCTCTCTCTCTCTCTCCTCTATTTTTGTCACTGGCAAACCATTTCCTCCTCCTCCTCCATCACCAACCATCATCTCCTTCTCCTTCGTTACCATCACCTAGGGGTGTAAATCTGGCCCAACCTAGCCATGTTGGGTCTCGTGAGTTCCCGCCAAAATTTGGGTCGGGTCAGGCCGGGCCGGGCCACGGAGCAAAAAATTATGCCTAGGCCTAGCCCTAGCCCTAGGCGTAAGGGTATTCAAGCCTTGGGCGAGCCGCCTTGGTGGGCCTGGCCTCGAGCTTCGGCAAGACTGACCATTTTTTTTTAAAAAAATTTTCTATCAAAAATTTATTATTTTTTATTAAAAAAGACACTGGGCCTAAGTGGGCCTTAAGCGAGTCGATTGGCTGGACCACGGGCCAGGCCAAGCTTCAAAATGATGGCCCAGGCCTAGGCCTAAGGGCTCGGCTTAGGCTCGGGCCCAGGCCTAAACAGGTCGAGGTCATCCCAGGACGCGGGCGAGTTTTGGGCTGCCCACGGGCCAAGGGCCATTTTTACACTTCTACTATCACCGTTGCT